GTCCGCCATCCCATAGGTTGACACTATGTCCATAGCATCGCCTATATTGGTCAGGCTAAGAGTCAGTGCTTCCGGATTCCTTTCTTCTTCAAACTCATCTCCCCCTAGCCTCTTCCTTTCTTCTTCCGATTCCTCAATCGTGAAAGAGCCAGGATTGGGCCTATTCCTTATACTTCGTGGCCCCGTATTTCTGCATGTGATAACCTCATAGTTGCCACATACCGGGTCACATAAGACGAGGAACATCGTCCCATCATGCTTATTCAGTATGACGGTCTCCGTTCGACTCAAAAAGGATCGGCCCAATAGGATGGGATGGTCAGATCGGGCATTACAAAGAAACAGCTTCTCACTTTAACCTTGCCAATCTCCAAAACCACTCTCGATGCGGTCCCTATGAACACAGACCGACTATTCGCTCCCATTAAAACTCCATGATCGGAGCGATCAATCTCCATCCCCAAGCGCAAACACGCTCCTCTTTTATGAGGTTCATTTCCGCCCCAGAGTCCACCATTGTCATGCACGTTTTTCCTTTTACTACTACGTCCAAGCATCCACATGCGACGAACTTCCAATCCATCTTCGTGCCTGTCTCTACCCATTCCGCTTCCTTGGGGATTATGGCCCCCAATCGCACGCTGGCTACCATCTTCCTAGATAATCGAGCTTTGAGCTCGTCCCGGAGCCTTGGAGCTGAAGCCAACACATCCTTCAGGTTCATAAGATGATTATGACCCTCAAGGATTCTATCCATTATTTCCTCCGCGTCATAGCCTTCTTCTACCCGGACAACATACTTCATTTTCTTCCCCTCTGGAGCTCTGTCCGCGTCTGCCTTAACATCCCTCTTCTTTGCTCTTAGCTCAGCCCTCTTATCCTCTCCCCTCCTTAATCTTTCATCTCTTTCATCCTCGTCCTCTGGGATGTCTACTGTCTCTTTTTCCCCACTAGGCTTAGGAATGTCCTTTGCCGGCTCATTGGGGCTTACAGGCCCCTTGGCCCTTGTCCTGACGGCCTGTGGCGCTCCTCCTGACCTTGATGGTGGCATGTAAGCCATTTCGGACCGAGGTGTTGGTCCCGAAATCGTTACGCCTGGTAGGCTCCCAGATCCTCCTTGCGGTCCTGGACCCATATCGTAGAGATATACCAGTGGCTTTTTATCTTTCCACTCCTTGACCTCTTCACACATGTTGGTCAATTTGTCTTGATACCTTCTCATCTTTGCCACTAGATCCTCCATTCTTTCCATCGTTCTCCGCGCCTCATTCCAGTAACCCCTTTCTATCTCCTCGTCAGATTCCACCACAATAGGTTCTTCCTTGACCGTACCTGCTTTCCTTTCCTGCTCTACTTCCTCGTTCTCTCCTATCTCTTCAACCCTTACATCAGGACGGACATCCTCCTCTTGCCAGATTCGAAAGATGGCCGGAGGAGCGGGCGGCTCGTCGGCCTCGACGCGTCTCAAGGCCTCCTTTCTCGACCCACCAGGGATCTCTGGGTCAATGTAGTATCCAAACTTATCATACATGTCACCGTCGTAGTTGGTACTAAT